TATATATATAGGACAAGGAAATGGTATATATTAATACCAGTTAAATGATATATAGGACAAGGAAATGGTATATATAAATACCAGTTAAATGATATATAGGACAAGGGAATGGTATATATAAATACCAGTTATATGATATATAGGACAAGGGAATGGCATATATAAATACCAGTTAAATGATATATAGGACAAGGGAATGGTATATATCAAAACGAGTTATATGATATATAGGACAAGAAAATGGTATATATCAATACCAGTTATATGATATATAGGACAAGGGAATGGTATATATCAATACCAATTATATGACATTTAGGACAATGTAATGGTATATATAAATACCAGTTATATGATATATAGGACAATGGAATGGTATATATAAATACCTGTTAGATGATATATAGGACAAGTAAATTGTTTCATTGAGATGAGGACCATTTACTTGTTATATTTTAGAAATTCCTTCTTTGATTGTTTTATATTGTAAAGATTGTAAAAAATTACAAATTGTAATTATGGAAAACCATAAATGTGTACAAGTTAATACTGTTAGTCAGTATTATTCAAACAGTATCGTTAAAGGGACTCCACTGAGGATAGTATTTTCTTAATTTATTGACATGATAGGACGGGAGTTATGTTGTTGAGGTTTCATACTATTTGAAGAAGATATATTATTTTTATGTATGCAAAATTTCAGATTATTTGCTCACTTTGTTTTACCAAAATATTAGTAATCATTTTAACTCGACTATTCAATGAATAGCTAATGCTATAATAGTACTTACCCCCATTGGCGTCAAACTTAGGTTACTTTTATGTGTGCAAGTTGGTATCTAAAAAACTACTGAATAAAAATTTCAATTGACATTCTTGTTCTTTAACATGACTAACACAAATCCCATACCTCTGATATTTTTTCCTCATTTTTATGCCCCTTTTACGACTTAAAAAATCTTGGTTAAGTTTTTTACTTATAAGAGTAGGTTAGAACTTCACACACATAAATGAGAGTAATAGGAAGTCACTGTCCGAGCACATAGATATTTGACAGAATTATTTCCCTTTTTAAAGTTAGAAAATTCTGCATTATCCATCACTGTGGATAGTCAATCACAATGTCCTGTCGACAGTGTTTAAATGTTTAAAGCTTAAGACCGTCTGAAAATTACACTTCAATAATATCGATTTTAAATCTTATTCTGGGTATTTTTCATTAGTATCATTTTATTTTTCCGTATTGAATACCCCGATTAATCTGTTTTAGATTTTCTATTTTTGTTCTTTTTTGTTTGGCTTTTGGACCTCAGTGGAGCTCCTTTAAGTGAACTCTTTGTTGTTTATGTTAGTATGATAAATTTAAACACTAGGCAAGTATAGATATTCCTTGCTGTAAATTCATATGTACTAGTATATACTGTAACTACATAGTCAGTAAAACATAATTTTTAATCAAAACATGTTATACACCATAGATGTAAATATGATTTCATTATACCTTCATACATATCCTCAATTTAAATGTACAATTGAGATAAAAATATACATGGCTGTCAGGTGCAAGTGCTTAAATTTGACTCTTCAACATTTTTGATTGCTTTAATGCTTTGAGATAGTAATGATATAAATACATCTTATTAACTGTATGTTAGTTTTGTTATGCTTGCTGATGTAAGTATATACCAATGCTATATATAAACATATGTTGATGTCTGTTTGTTATATGCAATTCTGATTAATGTATCTAGTACATATGTAAACATATTATTACATGTTAATAAATGTTTATTGTATAATTACAAGCTACTGCAATCCTTTTACGAAAAAAAGATTACATTATTTTATAACAAGAAATGTTATGTGACATGTAACTATACATACATTTTAAACAGTTATACCTGTTTGTTGTAAAGGCCCATTAAGCCTTAAAAATGCAATCACTTTTATTTTTAAAAACTTTCATTTTTTTGTGCAAAAAGTTTCTAATTGGCCATCTTAGCCTTTTTGTATGCCCGAAAGGGCATATTATGTTATACCCCCTGGCGTCCGTCCGTCCGTCCGTTAGCAATTTGTCCGTTAGCAATTTGGTTTCCGGAGCATAACTTAAGTTCCATTTGGCCCCCAATGTTCAAACTTCATAGGATGATTGTCCATATTGGGTAGATGACCCCTATTGATTTTGGTGTCAAAAGGTCAAAGGTCAAGGTCACTATTACCTTGATACTGAAAACAGTTTCCGTCCGTTAGCAATTTGGTTTCCGGAGCATAACTTAAGTTCCATCTGGCCCATAATGTTCAAACTTCATAGGATGATTGTCCATATTGGGTAGAAGACCCCTATTGATTTTGGGGTCAAAAGGTCAAAGGTCAAGGTCACTATTACCTTAAAACTGAAAACAATTTCCGGAGCCTAACTTAAGTTCCATTTGACCCACAATTATCAAACTTCATAGGATGATTGTCCATATTGGGTAGAAGACCCCTATTGATTTTGGGGTCAAAAGGTCAAAGGTCAAGGTCACTATTACCTTGATACTGAAAATAGTTTCCGTCTGTTAGCAATTTGTCCGTTAGCAATTTGGTTTCCGGAGCATAACTTAAGTTCCATTTGGCCCACAATGTTCAAACTTCATAGGATGATTGTCCATATTGGGTAGAAGACCCCTATTGATTTTGGGGTCACAAGGTTAAAGGTCAAGGTCACTATTACCTTAAAACTTAAAACAGTTTCTGGAGCATAACTTAAGTTCCATTTGACCCACAATGTTCAAACTTCATAGGATCATTGTCCATGTTGGGTAGAAGACCCCTATTGATTTTTGGGTCACAAGGTCAAAGGTCAAGGTCACTATTACCTTGAAACTGAAAACAGTTTCCGGATCATAACTTAAGTCCATTTGACCCACAATGTTCAAACTTCATAGGATGATTGTTCATATTGGGTAGAAAGACCCCTATTGATTTTGGGGTCACAAGGTCAAAGGTCAAGGTCACTATTACCTTGATACAGAAAACAGTTTCCGGAGCATAACTTAAGTTCCATTTGACTCACAATGTTCAAACTTCATATAGTTAATTGTCCATATAAGGTAGAAGACCCCTATTGATTTTGGGGTCAAAAGGTCAAAGGTCAAGTCACTATTACCTTGATACTGAAAACAGTTTCCGGAGCATAACTTAAGTTCCATTTGACCCATATATTCAAACTTCATAGGATGATTGTCCATATAAGGTAGAAGACCCCTATTGATTTTAGGGTCACAAGGTCAAAGGTTAAGGTTAAGGACTTAAGTATTAATCAACCTACATATGTAAAATTTTATAGGATGAACAGCTAATTCCCATGTCTAATGAATGCTTCATCCTTACTAAAAAAAACACTTTCTGGCATATAATGCTCCGCCTAGCGGTGCTCTTGTTTTAGTTTCATTGCAATTTGGCAACAAGAACATTATGATAGATAAGTATTTTATATGGATGTGAAATAACCATTTTGTTTACAATTTGCTACACTTATTATATTTATACCCCCGAAGGATGTGAAATAACCATTTTGTTTACAGTTTGCTACACTTATTATATTTATACCCCCGAAACGAAGTTTGGGGGTATATTGGAGTCACTCGGTTGGTCGGTCCAGCGGTCCGTACATTTTCCTTGTCCGGAGCATAACTTGAAGACTAATGGTTAGAATTCAATACAACTTCATACAATTGTCAAGCACATTGATAGGAAGTGCAGTGCACAAAGACCATAAATCCATCTTCACTAACTACAGAGTTATTGCCCTTTGTTACTTTTCAATTGCTTCGTTTTGTCCGGACCATAACTTGAAGACTAATGGTTGAAATTCATTATAACTTTATACAATGGTCAACCACATTAAGAGGAAGTGCAGAGCACAAGAACCATAACTCCATCTTCACTAGTTACAGAGTTATTGCCCATTGTTACTTTTTCTTGTCCAGAGCATAACTTATAAAGTTCTGGTTGGAATTCAAAACAACTTCATACAATGGTCAAGCACAATATGAGAAAGTGCAGTGTACAAGAACCATAACTCTGTCCAGAGTAATGACGATAGAGTTATTGCCCTTTGTTACTTTTCCATTGCTTTTTTCTTGTCCAGAGCATAACTTGAAAACTACTAGTTGGTATTCAATACAACTTCATACAATGGCCAATTATTTTGAGAGAACAAAAATCATAACTCTTTCTTGACTCATTTAAGAGTTTTTGCCCTTTGTTACTTTTTATTTTCCAGTGTATAAAATGAAAATTAATGGTTGGAATTCAAAGAAACTTCATAAAATGGTCAAGGGCAGTGAGATGAAGTGCAGTGCACAAGAACCATTTCTCTATTTTTACTAATTACAGTTATTGCCCATTGTTTTTTGTGTTTTTTTTTTGTCCAGTGCATAACTTGAAAACTAGTAGTTGGAATTCAATACAACCTTATGCAATGGTCAAGCGCAATGAGAGAAAGTGCAGAGTACAATAACCATGATTTCATCTTCAGTATTTGTAAAGTTATTGCCCTTTGTTCCTTTTCCTTGTCAGGTGCATAACTTACAAACTAATGTTTAGAATTCAGTGAAACTTCATTCAATGGTCAAGTGCAATGAGAGGAAAGTGAAGTGCTCAAGAAGTGTAACTCTTTTGGACTTATTACATAGTAATTCAATTAAACTTCATTAATGGTTAACCGCATTGGAAAAGGAAATGCAACATACAAAAACTACAACTATCTTTAATAACCCACAATCAAACATCTATTTAAGTTCTTTTGCAAGGTATTGTGTTACTGGTAACTTCCTTATTTCCGAAGCAGTCTTGCAGGGGTATTAATCATATTTAGTGATAGTTCTAGTTTCTTTTCAAACTCATTTTTGTAAGGTGTTTAGAATATCACATGTTGTAAATCTTTTATTACAACATTATAAAACCCATGTTTGCCCTTTTTAACAAAAAAATAATATTCATTTCTGAGAAGTAATGTGCCTTTAAACTTTGAATGTATATTATAGTGTAAATTCATTTATACTAAGTATGATAACATGAAAATCATGTTATGAATTGTTTACTAGGTATTTGAATTTATGTGTATTTTATGCTTATATTTGTAACCCTCATGATGGCAAAACTATATTGGCCATGTTTATACTTAAACAGTTCTATATGAAGTAAAGATAAGTTCATGCTGGAATATTTTATGTCAAATGTACATATGCTTATGGTATTAAACATGACTGTTTAAAACTTGAAATGTTCATAGAAAACAATATTCAGCTATTTTGTTAGCATCAATAAAAACTTGTCTGAAAGAACTAAACAATAGTGAAACTTTTTGAAACAATTCTATTCATTTTATATAGCACTTTTTAAGTTTATTATAAGTAGCTGGTTTTATTGAAGAATTATAAGAAGATATCAGGCAGTGGTTGACCAACATTTTGTATAATAAATAACATGTCTAGAACATTATGTATTTTATAAGGTTAAACAATTTAAATTCAGAATGGATACACCAGATCCATATTTATTGAATTTATCCAACAATGGTGACATGTATATCAGTATAGAGAAATGTCAACAAAATGTTGGCAATATATAACATTTATATCTGGTCATATAACCTTTATGAGAGCATTGTTATTCTGCTGCTTTTGTTATAAATGTAATACTTTAAATAGTAAAATATATCTTTTTGATTGGTTCTGATAGCATGTATGTGTGACTTTTCATAATAAAGAATTGTACAAAATTGATTAGTATATTATTTGTTTTCCCCTCTCTACAGACCTAGTTATGCTCCCCGAAAAATTTCGGGGGAGCATATATTCGGCGCATTGTCCGTCTGTCCGTCCGTCTCTCCATCCGTTGTCTTGTCCGGAGCAAAACTTAAATACCCTTGGAGATAATTTGTTTAAACTTCATACAGTGGTAAAGGGCATTGAGGGGAGTACAGTGTCAAAGAACCATAACTCTATTTTGCTCGGTTTTTGAATTATCTCCCCTTATAGAAAAATCTTGTCCGGGACATAACTCTAAAACTATAAGAGATATCAACATGAAAATTTGTAGGTAGATATATCTCAATGGGTTGATATGCAGTGCACAAGAACTTGAACTCTGCCTTGCCAAATTTTGTAGTAATTGCCCTTTGTTCATTTTTACATTTTGAAGTTGTCCCGGACATAACTCGGAAACCATAAGAGATATCAACCAGAACCTTTGTAGGTTGATAGATCGCATTGAATTACAAGTGAAAATGCAAAAGAAAGTAACTCGGGCCTTGCCAAATTTTTTGGAAAATTATTCCCATTTTTAAAACCTTTTTCCCAGGGAAAAATCTAAGTACAAAGGTGTACTTTCCTGTGTTAAACCTTTTTGGGGGGGGCAAAACCCGGGGCTAAAAACCGGGCTTTTTGGGTTTAAAACTTTTTTAAATACATATTTCCCCACATTTTTTCCCTAAAAATAAAGCATAAACACGTTATGTAAAATATTTTGCAAAACCTAAAAATGAGACCCTGACCTTTTTCCAAACTTTATCCATATTACAATGATAATTGGGGCAATTTCAAAAAATAACGCCATAAAATAAAATTTTAATGCACTGTACTAAGATTGAGAGTTTTGACTCGTAAATTTTAGGGGGGGGGGGGGGGGGGGGGGAAAAAAAAAAAAAAAAAAAAAAAAAAAAAAAAAAAAAAAAAAAAAAAGGAATTGAAAGCAAATTCCGTGGGGTTTCTTTTGGGAAATTTTAAACCTTCAAGTAAACCCAATTTCCCACCAAATAGTGGGTTTTTTTTTAAAAATCCCTGATTTTGGGTTTTTCCCAAACCCCAAAAATTTAACCCAAATTTATTTTGTTTAAACCTTTTTCCCCCATTACTCCTTGATTAGAAAATTAAAAATTATACCGTTGGGTTGGAAAATTTTACTTATTTTGGAAAAATATTCCGAGTAGTCTCTTTATTATGTGTTAAATTAAATTTATTCTTTGACCCAGCTTCATTTTCTTCATTTGTGCATACTTCTTAATTTAGATTCTCTCGGTTTGTTATTGGATTTTTCAAACAGACAATTCCGTCCACATTTTAAGAAAGTATTTCTGCTAGAATTAAGGATCAGTTTATTCAAGGTTGGCAAACGTCTATTTATGAATCAAGTAAATGGGTGAATTATAGAACTTTTAAAACTCAATATGGTTTTGAAAAATACTTTAACATTTTACCATCTCATTTAGCGTTTTTCAAATTTTCTCACATCCCTAATTGGGCCTTGAGATATCAATAAAAACTTTTGAGACTTTGTTACTGCACGTGATACATTCCGAGATTTCCGTGTGTTAAGTTCATTCTATGACTCGGCTTAATCATTAATTAGCCTGTATAGTTCCATAAAGTTTGCATGGTCTTTCTTTTCATGTTTTGTACACTTTTTAGTTCTAAAATGTAAATGCTGGTAAAATACAACTTATATAATCATCATTACAGTATTATTATAGTATCTTAGGTTTACAACATGTGTCAAAACATATGTGGAGAAACATATACTGTGACATCGGAATAAGATGCTAAAAGTCACAGATTGGGTTATTGTAGGTCCAGCAATAAGTACAATGTAACAAGCTGTGTTTATGTTATGATATCACACAAAAATATCTTATATCAAATTATTTAATTATTAATTATTTAATAAATTAATTAATTAATTATAATATTAACCCATTAGCAGATATATACGCTTTTCTACGCCTTTTTCACCCCCCTTGCTTTCTCAAAATGAAAAAAATGCCCTATTTAGGCCCCGAAACACTTGTTTTTGTTTGAGGATTGTTGTTTAAGATAGTGACCACTTTTTCGGCGCCGTCCCCCATCCAAAAGATACATCAGGGGGTTGCCAAAAGGAGAGTGTGCCCCCTTCTGTTTGGGGTTTGAAGTTGGCGGTAGTCCCCCTCATCGCCAAGAAAATTTTGGACTTGTGAGAGGCTTAAACTGAACCCCAGGTCGATCATAAAGTAACGTGTAACCAACGCTGAAAAACCTTTGACTCTATCTCAATCCATTGAGAAGTGGCAGCAAAATAGTGATTTTTGGCAATTTTGAGATGTCCCCTAGTTGCCATGGTAACTGAGCATGTTGTTACAAAGGCACTGGTCCAGTAAACATTTGTGCCAAGTTTGATTAGTATTGAAGCAGTTTTTATAGTTTTTTAGCAACTTGAACTTGTAACGGGAGACTTTTCAATGACTAATTCATTTCGGAAAACCCTCATATGTAGGGGAGACAAATCAACTGTTATATATGAATCTTCATTACAAGGAATAATTTCCCTTTATTCATTATTATCATAAACCAGATGGCAATACATATTCAATAAATTAAGAAAAAATGCAGCAGCTATAAAACAATATTTTTCGTCATTTGACAAATCAGCATTTATAAATTGTGAATTTGAATAGGTATTACATTATTCAAGGTTGCGTTCAGTTCTAACTTATCATAAGCCAGATAATTCCACTTGTTTCCATCTTTGATGTTTATTGAAATTGTTCGTTTTAGGATCATTATTTTATTTTTAATTAGACGAGCGTTACATTTAAGCATTAAGACGCACTGATGATCATCCTGTCATGCAGGTGCTTTATTATCAAGTAAAAGTAAGTTTATGCACATTTATGTACTTAAACAATACTTATTATTATGGGTGTAGAAACCGAAAGTACAAAATGTCTACCTGTTGACATTTATTCGGATTTGGTTATACAGTGTAATTGTACATCAGTGAACATTTTAATTGATTATTAATTTCAGATATGTGTTCAGTCATTATTATACGAAAGCAGACTTTATTTTCCTTTCTATGTCAAATATATACATTCTGTATACATTATTAAAGATTACACCTTCTGTTTTTGTTTACATCTTAAATCACGTGTAAAACTATTTTAAGTCTGTATTAAGTCGGGGGGTATTATAAATAATAGCCGAGATGTTCCAACTGGCTTTTATCTTTGCTTATACATTGTATCTATTCATCTGTGGACTTCCGACACAAATGAACTACACTAGATTCGTATTGTAGAATGTTACATTCTAACTGAAAGAAAGTATATTCGATATATTTCGTGTATGTCAGTAAAAATTACGGAAACAGACACTTAAAGTGCGGTAATGAGATACTTAATCGTGACTTTATTAAAAAAAGTTAAAATAGTAGTAGGTCAGACACCATTTATTGTTTCATTTCAAAAGTAATCAATAGGATTTACAATATTAGATCTCGACTGTCCTACCCAAGGTGACTCCAAGCATTTTTAGAAATGCTAATACATGTAGTACAATAAATGTTTGAAACAGTAATATCATCGGACGTTAAAATGTAATAGATAAACATGACGTTTTATGGCGGGATTCGCGGGAAAAAAACACTGACGGAGACACTTAAGACCGCCCGTTTCTCCAATATAATATCATCTCTCCATCAATATCATATAGGAACAAAAATCTAATTATTCCAGCGTGGAGTACATAATTTCATGGACAGACCTCATAAAAACGGTTACTCATATTGTAACTGCAAAGAGACTTTAAGTTTTAGTATCCTCAGAGACTACGATGAACATCATGGTTTTCTCTCTGAAAAAAAAAACAACAACAGAAAAAAAAAAACGGAATATTTTTCCTTCTAGGGTTGAGCATTATAGTGTATGCAGTGTATGGTTTTGTAATGTTTTACATGTTGTGCCTTAGTCATGATATGTTGCAGTTTGGAAAGTTAATTTATTACGATTGCAATACATTAATAAGTATTTGGTTTAACTTATGTTTAAAAGAGTAAGGACCTATGCTACAATTGACATAATGCAGATTATATGTAACAATAACTTTTTTAAACGTTCAGTAACCATAGATTATCCATTTATTTTTTCCAAGAATAAGCAGACAAAAACAAAATACATTTTGATTTATATCAAACAAATGTAAACTAATTCTACCAAAATCTTTGTAATAGTTTTTTTCTTATTAACATTTCAATAGGAACTTTTTATGTCATATATTTTTTAAAATTAGCAAATCTAAGATGTCAATGATTAACTCTGTATGTCAAACATGTAACAAAAATGATATTATGCATTACTTATTTTCCTATCACCTTTGGGAAAAATATAAATTAATTTTAAATGTTTATATTTTATGAATGACTTTAACATAATGAATTTTTACCAAAGAATAATACTAATTATTACAGCATTCTAATTACTTTCATTCTTAATTAAAATTTTCCCAATACACTCATCTTTTGTAACTTATTTTAGTAGGACAATGAACTGATTGATAAATTGATAAAAAAATAGTTAATTCAAAAAGCCTTAAAGAAACAACAACAAATAATGTTCCTGTATATATATACATATCCCGCATCTTTACAACAAAGAAAAGAAATAAAAAGTGATACATGTGTAAAATAGAGAAATACAGAATCCCCTAAAGAAAGCCCAACACGACAAAATTGAAAATGTTGCAGGCTCGGTTTGATTGAAATGTTCATGGACGGTACTGGAAAGTGCAAGTTACCGTTCACGCCCTCTAAGCCAACATCACATCCTCCCAATATCTTAAAGAAACATTAGCTGCAAAATCTAATATATGCGGTATTTTTTCACAAGCGAAAAAATAAGCTATTGTTTTCCACGGTATGGTAATTGAATTTTCAAATTTTTTGAAGGTAAGAATTATTGAAGACGCCACTCAG